GTTACTAAAAGTTTCAGCAAACTTTATAGTTGTCATCTTCAAGGAGAACGTGTTCGTTGGGCGCTTTTTGAAAGCCATAAATAGGCTGCTTCCGACTGAAGTATATGTTTTTTTTTCGTTTTTACTTAATATTGCTTACGAATTATTTGATATGGAACTTTATTGTCTAGTTGTTATAGTGAACTGTTTGAAATAACAAAATCAATAATGTCCATTATATTTTCAAAAGCAAATCTACCCTCTTTACGTGCTTTGAAGCTCGTCTGCTGTTTAAACATTTTCCATTGTGAAGGCAAGATTACAGGTCCTTCCTATGAGCGGTTATTGGTCAGGAAGTACTTGACATTGCGTCTTGTTTCTCACGGCACAAAGTAGGCATTCATCATCTCCTGTAACAGGAGCAGGAAATGCAGGACAATGAAAGAGGTATCTTGTTGATAAGCAACGGAGCAACGGCATACAGATACCGTAAAAACGATTTAGCATTTTAGGTCTTTTGTAAGATAGTTAGCAGTGCTGTAGAAACTGCATAGATTACTTAGTTCGAATAAGATGCAAGAATGATTGTGCATGGTGGAATGGAAAGGAAAATAAAAACATGTCAGCGTCAAGGCACTGGTACTCCAACTATTGGCATAGAAAATCAGTGTAAAATCTGGTTTAAAATAGCTCGTGTGGCACTTGTAATGTCCCTATAATTTACTTACAGGAAATTTTGCAATTAATAATAAGAAATATAAATATAATAATCATAAAATTTATTTTCTAATAAGTTAACTCGAGCTGTAACAAGATTAATTGTTATTTGGGATGTGCCCTTTCGAATGTCATCCGGAAATCAGCATATCATGACAGATGTTCTTAACAAGTTTATTCACTCTTAACTCTTTACGTGTAAATAACTGAACAGTACCTTCAAATAAGCTACAACAGTTTTATCAACCTCATTTCGCTTCGCATTTCACATACATTTTCTTACAGCACTTGAAAAAATATCTTGTTCAGATGATGGAGTTTCAATTAACTTACCAACTAACCCACTTGGCGATAGGACAGTAAACTATCTATGTAGGAATTTACATATTTTATTTGGCCTATGGTATTTCTCTCAGGTGCCCATCGAATGAAATGGTTGGTAACACTGGTGGAGGTCTGGACACTATGGCCGTCCATCACCTAACACTTTGGTATCTCTCCCAGCGTACTTATTGCAGGCGCCGATTTATATGATGCTGAAATTGCGGTCGCAATCAGCAGCTGCTAAATCTTGGTTGTTAAATGTTCTTAATTGTAGACTTTTCATATTCATACATGTTTTATGTAAGCGTACAGTTACTTGTTACATCTATACATCTATTTATTTTAACCTCTCATTCTTAGGCTTCCAGTATATTGCTTGCTTATCTTCTAAAAGTTCGTTTCAATGGATGATTTATTACAAAATCTTTTATCCAAACCACTGCCACTAAAATAAAAGAATAAAGGTAATTATGAATTTTGTCATTACAAGCACAAAAAGTAATCGAGATATAGGTGGGGCAAACCTCATAAATAATGTCAGGCAGTGGACAAAGTTAAACAAAATGGCGTTGTAACGAATTATTCAGTTATAGAAACATTTAGAAATTGCTGTAAATGAACGAAATATATAATTGAGATTTGAAATCATTCGTCACATTTCGAAGTACTCGTGATTTTGAAGCGCATGTATCGAAAAGTAATGAAACAGTTACAACTGGACTGAGGGTAAAGGCGGAAGAACAGTGTAGTCGGATAACCAGCCAGTTAAGGTTATGTTAGCTGTTTTAACAGTTTGATCAGAATTTTAACAGGCATCGATATTTTGTTCTTTTTTGTGGTATTCACAATATCCGCAGGGGCTTGTCTAGAAATGTGAGAAGCACTTGTCTGTTACACCCATAATGTGTTCCTTGCGTCAGAAAGAGAATTTATACTGGCGGGAACAAATACGGGAATTAGTGGTTTTAGGGGGAAAAGTCATAGTAGAACATCCACCCTTACTTGTTACATTTTAAACTTGCTTTCTTGACACAGGGCGTGGCTTTATGTCTGATATGTGCCGCTACAAAGTGAACAAACGTTAGCATATGAAGCACCACGGACTCATGATTAATTATTTACACTTGGATCCCTCGACTTCTCTTCGTACGCAGACTGGCCAAGTCAAAGTTTCTTGCCGTTATAACCGAGAATGCCAAAACTCGATGTGTCTGGAGGACTTAATTTTGAAGTTGGTGTACTTAAGTAACAATATATAAAATCACGCATTCAAACAAAACTGTTTACACTTTAAAAGACACTTAGTGCATGATTTTATATATCAATACAGTGAACGGTATGCAAGGTTTCAAGTTCAAATTATATCAGTAATTCGGCTTTGATAAACTGCGCCGTTACCTTAATGATTCATGTAAACTTGTAAATTTTCTGTGTCTCTAGTAAATCAACATTCTGGTTCGTCTCATTTTGCCTACGTTAACTGATTTTTTAAATTTGATTACAACTATTTTGATTTGACGAAACCGTTATGACTGAGTGCGATTTCACGTTCTCACGGCGGTGAGTGTGAATATAGCTGTTGTCTGACTCGTGCCGAGTAGTCTGGTAGACGTTTACCGACGTCATAGAGATGCTTCTTGCGATACGAGACGATGGAGGCGGCAATGCCCTCTCATATATATCGTTAAAAATCTACCGGACTACACGGGACAATGACTCATGCAAGTCATCTCCAAACGCGTATCCTATGAAGCTTTTCGGCTATGTAAAATATGGCTTCTTTAATATTGAAATGATTACTAGAATAATTAAAGAATTAAATATACAAAAAACAGGAGAAAAATTATTAAATAATTAATGAAAAACTAATGGAAAATAATGTCCCGAACTACAGATTTCATTAGACGATTATAATATTAGTAGCATATGAAAATAATAAAAATATCTGTACGAACAGTCAGATTTCTCAGAAATGAATCACTGCTCAAATAAATATACAAATCCTTTCATAATTTTGCAGAGGTACTTCATAATGGCCGTTAAACCACAGCCATTTCGGATCTCTTCAATGGTATGAAATATATTGAACATTATATACGACATTTTGGGAGCTTGCTCTATTCCATATTCATGTAACTGGTTGTCATTGTGTATTTTTATTTTTGATAGTAGTGGCAGTTTTCGTTATAGAATCACAAATATTTTATTTCTAAACTCCTATGTGAATCCCTACACCACTAGAATGCCTTAAAGACGGAAGTCAACTCCGTAAATGTGTTATTTAATAATGTTACAAATGAGCAATGTCCAACATAATAAAACTACAATAAATTTCTTATCAAGATTTATAACATTTATGCAAAATTTATAAAAAAAACAATTTCCAACATTTGGTTTTGTTTCATACAAATTTGTTAAAATATCAGAACCGACCCAGTCTCTTGTCTTACTGTAAAGACGAGGTTCGTTTCCGGGGATGAAGCGGCCGGGGTGTAAAGCAAATCACTCAAATTTATTTAGAATATAGATTTTAAATGCGTGGAGTCATTCTTCCAGTATCCAACATGTCTGCATAGCGTGGCACTTAATTACGCACAGTAATCCCTCCATATCCTTCGTTAATTTGTATCATACAGATGTAACGGATGAGGGAACGAGGAATATGAGGGTATTGAAACCTATTTTAAAATGACAATGAAACGATTAGCGTATTTTAAAAACTGCGTAAATACCTATCTAATCGCAGCACCGCTGAAGTTTTACGAAAATTCAAGGTTTTTAAGATAAGACTATAACACAGTTCGTATAGATATTTCTCAATCGGATTTGGGGTTTGGTAGTAGAATGTTTACTCTAAACTCTCAATCCTGTTTCCACGTGACACTGTCAATCTTTGTATTTTCGGAGAAAAGTCTTACTTAGTAATAGCCAGATCGTCCACGTAAAAATAAATAAGTATTTAGGCGTAATAGCTCGATCGAGGTGACCTACGTAAATCTGAAATTTAACTACAAACGGTTAAATAAGTAGTAAATTGTTTTACGAAGTTTATGTTGAGTGTAAATTCTATGTTCGTACTAAAACTTAATACCTTCAGCATTTAGCGTGGCTTCGTAAAACCGAAACACAAGCATACCGTAAAAGAAAAATATTAAACAAATATTGAAAGTATTAAGTTGAATAAAACGCTCAGAAAATTAACATCACGGAATGTTTTCAGTTAAAACTGAGTTTCAATCGACTTCTGTTTGTTACTCACTAAATTTATTTGCTGATTACTTACTGTTATAATATTTTGCCCACCCAGGTTCCCTAATATTTTTTGTTAGTTACAGATTTTCCCTTTTCTATTCGTGTTTAAGCACCTTTACTACCTTCTAAGGCTTAATAGCTCACTCAAATTGTACGCTGATATAGCTACAATTTGATAACAAATGTTTTAAATGCTATGTGAAGTGGGATACAGGTAGATAATCAGCGACAGAGCTAATATTGAAATGGACATTCAGATTATCCATGAAACGGCACAAAACAGGGGATTCGAACGACTGAATATTTTCACCTCGGGTAACTTAGAAGATATAAATCAGATTTAATGGCGAAAAATACAAAAAAAAATGAAAAATCGTTAGCTGGTTTTATATGAAACATAAATGGAGGACGCAAGAATGTAATACGAAAATCTTGTTAGAAAACCAAATGAGAAGAAACCTCTTGAGACGATAGCTTAATCTCAGTCCTTCAAACTATACCTTAATTATATATCGCTTCAATATCATTCGACGCCAAAATATCTACATTTGATGCAGCGTCCTTAACTTATAAAAAAAACCATCTATATATTTTTTCATTTGTCAATTTAAACAGGGACTGTGTCAGATTAATATGTCTAGTACTAAAAGGCTTATATTATTTTTTTCGACCGAAACATTAATATAGTTTCATTGTGCTGAAAATATGATTGTGTTTGTTGCAGTCACCAGCCCATCTAAAATCACAAATACATAAACAACTCCCAGAAAAAGTCGGGGAAGCTTATCTAATCCAAAGTGACAATCGAGTTTATCAGGCTCTGAGGCTCTGCCGTTACCACTACCGGCTCCTCCGCAGTTCAACGCACACATCTTGACGAAGTCTTTACGGAATCAAGCCAGCTTGTAGCACGACAGTGATATCGCCATGGACATTACACCACAGCGACCTGCGATCTTCGTGCTAAGTCTCCTATTTGTTACAGCCGTCTTCTGCTTCAGCTCTTCCGGTGAGTAATGTAATCTCAATTGTATCTCAGAACATCTTGATCAATAGCGCAGTAATGAAGTCGACTGTGGTTTACTAATATACCGTAGAGATTTTCTTTATAATCAAGTAACTGACGAGCCTTGTGATCGCTCATGAAACAGTGGAATCATAGTTTCGAATCCCGTACAGGTCACTGATATGTATATGTATTTTACTCTTTCGTTCTGTGTGTGTTGGGGGTCTTGCGATGGATCTGCCCCTGTCCAGAAGACCTAAGAAGTATTCAATTAATATAATTGATAAAAATTGTCTATATAATTGGTTTGAAACGGTCCATTATGATAGGCTAAGAAAGTGAATGCGTAAGGCCTAAGTAAGTCACTGTATCTGAGTTTCAATATATCGAAAATTGCATAAAGTAAAATAATCAAGGAACAAAAAATTATATGAGATTTAATTGTGGTATTCTTGTTACACCGTGCAGTCTTGTGGTAATTTCCAGCGTTTCTTAAGAACAACCTGCCTACATATTCAGCATGATTGTATAGGGATTTTGCTACTCTGAAACATTGGTACTTACTGGTGTAAAGAACATAGAATGTTACAGTTTGAATAAATTTGATAATCACATTGCATAAAGTTTAGATTTGAATCTGTGCTACGTAAAGATCCAGCCTTTGAAATGTGTTGTGTCGAGATGATAAGAGTCAATGAGAAACGTTACGAACATTACGCATATAAATAGGGAAATCTGTTACTAGTTGCTTGGATGTAATTACAATACATCAGAGCCAAAATTATAACTGAAATCTGATGACAACGCGACATAGTTCTATAACTGACTTCCATTGTTGTGTTGTTTAATGTCGGAAAACGGGTTTGCCACTAGCATAATAACTCTTTAACCTTATTTGAAGCAATCGTTGAATGATTAACTGCTATGCTGCCGTCATGAAAACTGGTTTTCAGTCCACACGTAGAATATCAGGAGCCATAATATTAAACATAAATTATCCCACAAAAGCCTCAGACTTGGAGAGATGGTTTTGCACAAATTACGAAGTGTAAAAAAAAGCAATATGACATGTCGAGAAAATGAGAAGTGCATAGAAAAAGATCACTTGGGAGTCCTAAACATGGATTACATCTCAGAGATTTACAGATTGTAAAATTGACCACTCAATTTACTTGACTACAGACAGAATTCGAGTTGAAGCTATGGCGAACAGATTGTTTCCATAAAAGATGCACATCCCTCGACCAGGTGAATAAATGTAAATTAAAAGGAAATATGTGGATGTGGTCGTCTGTGTTACGTCATGCAGTGTTACCGGCGTTCTTATTGGACTTCTGTTCTGAAGACTTGGGAGTGCTGCTAAACATTTGTTATCGTATATCAGTCCTAAAGAGCCACTACCCAAATTGTTATCGCCATGAAAACTTCAAATATTTATCAACATGTAAGGTAGTCCGTAGAAAATGCTATATAATTGTAGGCAAAAGGCCCGTCATTTTATAGAAACTTAAAAGTATTTTGGGTGAATGTTGACATAAGTTTCCTGTAGAACGTTTCATTATTCAGCTTGTGTTTTGTTCTAACAACATGTTAATAGTAGGGAGTTTCATAATAGTGGGGGATTTTGATGCACCCTATGTGTAACCGTTGTTCTGAACAGCCATTGGAACAAAATTAACTGACATGTGGTTATGTAAACACATCATCAATCTGAATCAACTCCATGGGATCTGTTGCTTATTCTGAGGTGAACCAAAGCACATACCTGCTTCCACTGACGTTGGTTTCACAGTCAGCCCTCCCACCATGATGACAGTCTCAGACCTTTGCTAATGCTGGTTTGTGTTAGCGTTTGCTGTCATCACCCTGGACCACGTGCAATTCCATACCCAGTCCTGTTGATAGAGTTCTGCATATGGGTGGCTATTTTGTACCAATTCTTGGAAAAAAATATCCGTTTTTGATTGATACCTACGTACTATCAGTGCACACAAAATACTATATTTTCCGAACGTAATTAACAACAGTGAAGCAAACTTTAGCCTAGTAGTTAAAATGCACTATTCTGAATTTGTATATGTGTTGTGTAGAAATTATGTGAGAGATAAATCGATTATCAAGTCAATCAGCAATGCTGTTTGGGCTGTACATGTTGTAAAGCTTCAAATGAAATGGGAATAATAGGCTAAAGTGTGAGTAGGTAAGGATTTTGAGGGAGGATGTCGTGGCCTGTTTTAGGTACTATATCGATGTTCGATAAAATAACCAAGTGAAGCCACGAAAATAGGGTAGCCAGTGAACCGACCCACATTGGAACCTGGTACCTGAAGAACACAATCACTGATTATTAATATTGCACAAGCCCGATATATGTAGTTAGCGTCGAGAGTTTTAGAAATGTAGTAACAAAGGCACCGACAATAGGATTAACATTAATTGCCCTGCAAAGGTGTATCTCATGATAATCGAAAAGTATTTTTTAAAGGCGTAGAGATGGCGTGGAGGAAAATTGCCGTTACACTTTTTCAGCTATGGATTATGAACTAGAATCCCAGGGTTTCATTGACGGCAGTGGTGTTCGGAGTTCTATATTCAAAATCGAGTAATGTAGAAGGTCTTATAAAGTATTTAGATACCGGTCATCTTCACTCTAGTGGCCAGGCATAGATTGTGTGGAATTTTACATCTAGGTCCTCCGTCTGACGTCCCCTATATTATTTTGAAAAGCAACGCATAATCATGCTAATATTATCATTCCTCAGTCAGAGCAGTCGAATCTGAATCAAATCTTCGCTTACATTGCTATCAATATTACGATAAATTAAAATAGCTTAAAACACTAGTATCTCAGATACTTTGTTCCATTTTAGTCTAGTAACAAAATTTGAAATTTTGCAGTTGTTACTGCGATTCATATCTTACATTATCCCAATACATTACAAAATGCAGGAATATGATTATAATAAGGGCCTGATTATCTTATACCTTGGGGAGAATAAAATTCAAAAATACGGAAACAAACAAAAAAAATCGTCTATTGTGTTGTATTTTTCTATATTTGTCAAGTATTTGTCTTGATACAAATTTAAAAGTCCCAGTAATTTTCAATACGGTAGCAGAACCCCTGAATAAAAACAAATAACATATAATTGTCCCTCATTCTTTGCTGTCATCATAGAATATGAAGCACCAGTGATTTCATAAGCTACAAACTTTTCGGAAGGAGAATTACAAGACATTTTAACAAGTAATCAACTCATATATTTATGACTTTTGCAACGAACAGATTACGTTGCAACAAGTATAACGTACTAAGTGAAATGTTGCAAGGCAGTGGATCATACGTTGAATGTAATCAAACGAGAACGTGGAGACGGCATAGACAATTTGCGGGAGACGAAAATAGCACCACAGTCAAGCGGGACTTTTAAGAAAAATGGTAGGACGAAGACAAAATTGGAGAAAGGAACTAGAAATGTAGTTGTGTATTATTAAACAGTGGCTGAGTGATTTGATTTTACTTGTAAATTACATAGATTTGCAGAATTCTCAGTGAAATTCAGTTCATCTTTTATAATGTGCTTCGGTTAGTAGTCTCGATATGTGTAATGGTATGAGTTACGTTAAGTAACTGAGATTTTTACGGATGTTACTGCGAATATTAGAGCACCGCAGTTCTCTTCGTTAAGGCAAAGAAACGTATCCAATAGTCCAGAGCAGTGTAATTTCTCGGACAGCAGATACAATGGGTCAAAACGGTGCGGTGTCTTGGGGTGACCCTTGACACCGGGCTTACCTGGCCGACGAACGTCGAGGGCAGCGCAACGATTGGCGTCTTAGGCCCCCTCCTTAACAGGAGAAGTGGCCTATCCGTCAGAAACAGTGTGCTGCTTTACAAGAAGGTCATTCGTCCTATGATGGATTACTCATGCTTGATCTGGTGATCAGCTGCCAGGAGCCACGTCCGGAATCTGCAGGTGTTACAATCCAAGTGTCCTCGCATTGCGACTAACCCGCCTTGGTACGTTAGTAAGAGGCAAATACACGAGGATCTGGGAATTCCACACTTCGCCGACGACATCAGAACACTGAATGAGAGCTTCGACTCAAAGTCAGCTGATGTGGGGAACCCCTTAGTCCAGCAACTCTGAAAGCACTTGTGCCGATCGAGGTCTTAACATTAGTTAGACTTTTAGTTGTTGTTAGTTGGCACGGCTTATTTATCGCCCTAATTATGGAGGCATAATGGACCTCTGAAACGTCTATCAGACTATGCTGCATCTTCAAGGATTAGGCTGACTGCTTAGCCAATTAAGGAAAATACATCTTTCTTTAGACCTCTTTGTTGTTTATGGAGTTAAGTAGCGTACCCATCTCTCGTCATTTCAAAAAAATATTTCTCCCTCAGCTTCACTCCGCTTTCGATTGCCAGGTGACACAGAAACACATTTTACCTTCTGGTCGAGGTCAGAATATTTGAGACCCTCTGCGCGCCCACATTCTTGAACAATAAGTCTTCGCGAATAATTGTCTCTCGGTCCCAACTCTTATGCACACTGTGGATGCAATATTAATGTCATTCATATTTACTTCATTTTGTCAGTTTCCAAAAACTTCTCCTCATCGACACGAATGTTTACATTTGTGACGGCTGTCGACTGCATGAGACCATGAGGTCGGCTAGCAACATGTTCATGACATCAAAAAATTTATTGTGCCAATCTTATATGTTTACACATAATAAGATCTCTTCCGCATAATGTGTTCTTAACCTGCGAAGAATTTCAGCCAGTTTTACGCTTTCCCTTAGCAGAAATTTGACGATACAGCGCTGTTCTACTCTCGGAGTGATTGAGACACGTCATTTTGCACAGATTCTAATGTGAAAACGTGAAGGGCGTGATTATGTGCGCGTGTGTGGGAGTGGGATCACTGTTGCCAACATCTGCCACGAAGCGTATTTCGTCATTCTGATGCAGAAATATTTTGTGTAAGTCTAGGTCAACCCTGAACGACCTTGTTTGATATAAGTGCTGACAGTGCAAAACATCCTTTCTGTTTCATGTTTCAAGGTGCATAGCTTATAAGCACTATATTGATGAACATATATTGTTTCTACCGTTAAAGAAAATCCATTTTGTTTCTAGGTGTAGAAGGTGTACCATTGCCACCAGCTCCAGCTGCAGATGCAACTTCAAGCGGAAGTCACAAAAATGCCAATTCCCACGCCACGAAAAATAAGCACGACTCTACTGTTTACCATACCACTAAGAAACACATTAGCAATGAGGAAAATACAGGGGATGGTAGAATTAAGAAGTCGCATGCACAGAAAATATCTGAAGGCAGTACAACACAGAAACCCTCTAAACAGAAGGACCATAGCAACAGCGCTTTGATGTTCAAAGAACAAAGAACTGCAAAGACATCCGTGCCAACAGACAGCAAAGCTCTCAATCTACCGTTAGATTCAGATTCCAAAAGCGAACTTGTGAAGCGCGATTTGCAAATTAACATTTTTCCTAGTCAATCGGGAAGTATCGACAAGCCTGTAGAAATTGAAGTCAAAAGTTATGCTTCCCCTCCAAATGCATCCGCCGTTATAGAAGTGAATCCGAAGACGTACAATGTAGATTTTTATAACTCCCCCGATGGTAACTTATGGCCTGAGTACCAAATGAACCAGTATCCTCAAGAAACAAATGGGCCACTCAATTGGTATACAGACAATTATCAGCAACCAGTCCCACCAAGTCTGTCATACGTACCAACAGAGGAACTCTTGCACAGTCAGAACTTTTTGAACATCCCCAGTTTAGGATCTCAACTGTTGTATCAGTACCCAGTGAAAGAAGCAATATATAGGAACCCAATAAATCCTCTGAGACCCAAGCTAAACCACGTGCAAGAAACATCAAAACCCCTAAATAATAACGAAGGAAGTTCAAAACAAAATTCTGAACGTGAATACATGTTGCCAAATTATCCAGTAAATCTACAATTACAAAATTTGGCATACAACCCAAATACATTACAACAATTCCCGTACGTTTTACCTCAACATTACATGCCACTATACTTCCTTCCACAGTCAAACGAAATTCAAAACACCCTTCCCTTAAACACTGGAACCGAATCAAACTACAATCCAGGATTTACTAAGTACGTCACAAAGTCGTACTATCTTCAGACACATCCAAAATTAGAATGGGTGCCCTTATAAGGGTATTTGCCGAAGAATAGATAAGTGCAAAATAACCTATAGATAAAACGTATAGTTTTCCTTTCAATAGTTGTAATAGTATGACTTCATACGTACGTTGGTGGTTATAATGAAGTATTTAAATGCCACAAGATTACATATCACAATTAGAATACATAAACACTGAACTTGACAATGTAGTGTTGGCACTCCTGCGTCTTAGTCTGGAATTTCCGGTTTACAGACTCGATCCAAATACCGAAAGTCTCGAGATAGTATTTTAATAGGCCACAACCACGTCCTCGTCCTTAAATATTTATTTATCTGTTATAGAAAACTTACCAATCGATGCTTTTTAATATTTAATTTGTAAAATATTACTAAATTAATCATGATACTAATAGAAAATTAATAAACGTGCCAATAATAATATAACCAGGAATCTCCGGTGCAATCATGTGGTAAGCAGAATCTCCGCTGAACGAAATATATCATTGCAACGTGTTCTCTACATACAGTGAATACATATTTCTTTTCTACTCATTTAATGACAATTAATTTGATGTAATTGATACATAGTTCTAATATTATTACACAAAATTATGATTTACAGTTTTTACTGTAACAAAAAAAAGAGACGAGGATGGGAACCAAAATGAAAACCAAATGTTGTTCATAATTGAGTTCAGCCATTTTATAATAGCTTGTAAGACATATATTATACACGTTTTAATATTTCATAAGGAAAATAATTTTTGTAAGTTTTCATATTCATGTAGAAGGAATAAGATATATTTGACAGAGATTTATAATGTATTATGTTAGTTCAAATAATTATATTAATCTTCATAAAAATGATAACACCTAATGTATCCAAAGCAGGAATAGAAGCTGTTACACGATGTTTAAATATATTGGTGCCCGAATTTATAACTTGTGTTGGGCAAGGCCGTGGTCTAGGCAACACGGAGTTTTCCTCCGTGGCCTCCCAACAATTACTCCATTCACACACAGAAGAAGGCAATGGCAAACCACTTCTGGATCATCTGCCAAGAACGTATATGAACAGGTCCCAGTCCGAGAAAAGGATGGAAGGATCCTGTTCATATGGACCTGTCGTCACACAGAACACTAAAATAAATAAAATAAATTCTGATTATATTTCACTAAAATTAAGGCTACAATCATAGATAACTGCAGTGTTATAAAAGAGAAGTTTCATTTCTTTATTGTCAAATATCAAATATGTGTGTGTGTGTGCACACGCAGTTTGTAAGTACAATTTGGCCTACAAATTTGTTGCAATTTCTAAAATCAAGCTCACGGATGGCAAAAAATCTGAATTGACACTAAAACACCGAACGTCATAGTCGGGTGGTGAATACTCATCCTTCGTATTCGGGAGATCCAGAGTTAAAATTTCAGGTCGGAGACCTGCTATCCTAACTGGTTTTTATTGTGGTTTGCTCAGACCCCCCAGGCAAATGCCGAGACAGTGCCTTAAATTAGGCCACGACCTCTTTCCTCCACATCCTTTCTAATTCATCTAACATACTCTCATTCGACTCTATGTAGTATGAGCTCATGGAAAATCGTCGTTAAGTAAGTTATATATAAATAAATAAATGCTCAAAACCTTAAATGTTTCTTTGTAAAAAATTACCTCAATAAGTCTCACAATTGCTTTTTTTATGTTGTAAATACCTAGTTATATTTAATTTGTAGACAACGTACTATATTCCAACCAGTGGTAACGGAATTAATACAAAGAAACAATTACGTCCTTGAACGGATAAGACAAATCTAATGTGCGCTAAATTCCCTCCCTCCCTCCCTTCTCTCAATTTTGAAAACAGTTCATAAACTTTGAATCTACGTGTATGGGTTGATTAGATATCTTATTCAACGCGATAACATTACACACGTTTGCCACACACAAATTCTTATATCACACGAAACTAAGAAACATTATTTAAAATTATGTATTATAATTAATTTTTTTCAGGATCATGCATTTAACGGTTTCAGCGTTCTCAGGACTGTAAATCAGAATTAAACAATTTAAGAAGAAGCCGAAGTGAGTATTAAATGTTTTTTATGTGAATCTACACTCTCGTAAGGATATTATTGAGTATAATCGGTTTCAGAGACAGCTAAACCCATGAGCCTATTTTACTGAAAGTAATATATTTACGAATGTATCAGTTATAAAACTAGGTCACAAATATACTAGAGTTAATTCACACGAATTTTAAGCTGAAGTCGAATTTTTGTCCAAGCAGAAGATTTCAGTAGTGTCTATTCTTCATAAGAACTGGTCATTTTCAGTCAATGCTTTGTACCATTTAGATTTAAAAATAGAAACATGGGAATTAATTTGAACTCGCCCACATCTTTGTAACATGAGCAGGGTTTGTTCTCGTCTCGTCTTGCTGTGCGCTTTCGAGTACAGTAAACAGTACCAGTGAGCGAACTGCGATGTGGACAGTGAAAGCGCTCGAACAGAACTTGACCTTGTGTTTCAGTTGCTTGTAAACATCTGGGCTGTTAGTTAAAGTAGTGGTCGGAGAATTAGCTTGGCATAGGAAGCTCTGTATAAATCAAACCTCGACGTATGTAGGTTTCTGTAGTTTAGCATTTAATTGTGCAGTGCGTGAGTTACATGGATTCCTTCTGTTCAGCGGCTCGGATCCGTAAATGTCGAAGGTAAGTCGTCTTTTTCATTTGATTTAATTAACTTTTATGAACAGAAAACGCGACACAATGTTGATGGCTGTCTTCTAGGTTGTGGAGCCTCCATCGTCAGGGTGATGATGATAGTGGTAGCATGAACCTCTGAAACGCTGGTAAACTTCTAACATACTTTCGACGGTACAACCCAGAAAACAGCCATCTTTGTAGACGTAACAGGTAGCACAATTCGATGAAGATGAGACGATAAAGACAAATCATTTATGTTTGTATCTTAATTGTTAGTATTTATTACGTGTAAGAGATAATTCATACAATGGCGCCCATAGATACAGCGTGCACTATTTTACTGTTTTTCACTGAACTTTATTTTATTTTATGCTTACTCAAACAACATTTATGTTGAAGCATTTGTCGACTTCAGACTACCGCTGTTGACGAATCGTACGATCATCAGTTGCCGAATATTTGCAATCAGCATCAGATTACAATATCCTTCCAGGAATATTAATACAAATATAACATTAACAATTTATCACAATTTCAGTTACGAAACAGCGCTTTTATTTTACGAATTTGAACTGTCGTAGGGGCCTGAAAAACTGACTGCGAAAAATTAAAAGCATTTATAAAGAAGAACAGGAATAAGAAGAATAACAACAGCAATAATAATATTAAAAATAACAGCAACACACTTCGTGTGTTTACTCATACCATTAAACATTGACAATGACACATGCAGTATGCTATGAAGATTAATATCTATTCAACATATCTGTTTCGTCGTTGGTTGTTTATGTAAAGACGTTATTAGGAACTTGGCTCTTTAGTCCCGATCCTCTTTGTAATTAAAATAATTGCTGTACAGGAATATTTATTGCTAGTGGTTTCTCTTCCTCGTTATAAGTTCCATGTTAATAACTTGTTTGGTTGTGGACCGTTTCCACATGAGGTTATGTGGCGGTGTTTTGGTAAGCCTGTGGTCAAAATCGGCATAATCAAAGTCAGTGACCCTGGTTAACAAGTTCTGTGTGTCATTTAGTTGTGGTTTGTGTAGATCTACAGTAAAATTAATTAGATCGATAGAGCAAGAGAATTTTTGACATGATTCGATTTATTTCGAGCAATTGCCAAGCCACAGAAAGAACACAGGTTGAGAATGTTTCGAACATACGACGAATGAAGTAAAAGGTGGAGGAAACGAGGACCCCCAAAATGCGTAGTTTTGAGGGTGAAGTGGGCGGAGAATGGAGGAAATGCAAAATGCTGAAAACGTTTTGGTTGGTAAGCCTGAAGGGAAGCGACAGCTCTGAAGACCTAGGCAGAGATGAGAAAATATAATTAAAATAAATCTCAAGATCACGTAGTGGAAGGCCGTGTACTGCATTTATAGAATAATGAGGCGGGCTGTTTTTAAACCGGCGGTGGACATTGGTTCAATAACAGACGAGCATTTCTTGGCCAGCTGAGAGAATATTGGCTTCTTAAGAAGGATGCGGTAATATGTTAACTATCAGAAGAATTTCTGTTCCTATAGGAAAATAAAGAGTGGTCACTTGTAGTCCGTCGGAGTTAGATATTTAAATATATGGTTTCGCCTTGTTGAGTTTTTGTCGACTCTGACTCTGCTTTATTTCAGATGCAACTATTGTTGATAAGCCAATTGCATAAATTACACCGCACTGCATAGTATAATGACACATTTCTTCCAGTGTTTAGTTAAAAACTCACCACATATAAAAGGAATTAAGATTAAAATTGTGGTACTAACAAACCTCAAGGACAGCTAACACTCCCATTTTATATTTGATTATATGCTTATTATTCAAGGAGATTATAGAATTTAGTGCCACATACGAAAGCTTCATCGATCTTTGAACGGTCGCGGCTTCCGCTCTGTTTGCACCCATCTGTGTGTTAAACTTCATCCTACTACGTCTTGGTAATCGTGAATGCGGTTTCTGGATTTTATCCAGCGTAGATCTAGCTTTCATAAGTTGCTATAAGTAGGGCCCTAGTAAAGTTTGTCCCACTATGCGCCATATAGGCGTTTGGGGTGAGTGGAGGTATAGCTCCTCTGTTTCTTGACCTCGGCACTAGATGGGGGTGAGTGGTCAGCATCACGCCCCGGCCGGCTTTACCCCCGGGAAAGGACCCCGGTACCCATTGTAGAGGAGGCTGGGTGGGCCCCAGAGCCAGTCTGGACGCAGAGGCTACAGGGAAAATGGTCTGCCCCCATCGGGGATCGAACCCCGGTCGTCCAGCCCGTAGCTGGTCACTATACTGGCTGAGCTATCCCGATAAGTAGGGCCCCTAAAAGTAAAGTAAAGTTTGTCCCACTATACGCCATGTAGGCGTTTGGGGTGAGTGGAGGTATAGCTCCTCTCTTCCTTGACCTCGGCACTAGATGGGGGTGAGTGGTCAGCATCACGCCCCGGCCGGCTTTACCCCCGGGAAAGGACCCCGGTACCCATTGTAGAGGAGGCTGGGTGGGCCCCAGTAGGGCCCCTACTTTCTGATAAATAACAGCCTGCATTAAATCTGTACGCAAGCAAATTGAATAATTCATTCACGCTTATTTTTGTGTGAGTATGTATATTCAAAACCAAAACTCTTCAATTTACAGATAATCTCGCCAACAGGACAGCGGAATGGTTGTCATGAACGGGATTACTATTTGAAAAGTCTGTTTATACCACAAATCAAATACAAGGCGTATCAGTGGCAAATACTAAGCAGTTAAAGTTCTTAGAGAAATAATCGATGTTTATTCTAAGAAACATACGAAACCTTTAAATAGAGATATTAGATATTAAAACGAGTAGTATACATTTCTTATCGTGCTTTCAAGTGTCTGTCGTGGGTTGAGACTAGGTGGCTGTGAAACTGGGTCACTTTGCTCGTCTTCGAGACAGTATATGAGTGAAAATGGAGTACCGATGGAATTATAATGAAAGGGGAATTCGAGGGACGCGGAGAATGAAGTCTATCTCAGTGATGCTTTTGTCAACTACAAATCCCACTCTAACAGTCTTGGGCATGAATCATGGCCTTCGCGATATCAAGCCGGCGACTAACCACCTGAGATATAGCGTAGCTGAACTTGACCGTGAAGGTACAATTTGGCTGCACGCGACAGAGACAAGCGACCGAGGCAGGCGACAGAGACGGGAGACGGACACATCGCAGCTTGTCGCCAAACACTTTTGAGGTGACCACCGAGACATGCGGCAAAGTGTTTGTTTTCTTTGTTTTGTTGAGACATAC